TGGCAGGCCGCCATTCTGCAGCGTTGGCAAGTCGCACACAAGCTGCGTTGGTGGACCGTGGAGATGCTACGTTGGCAGGTCCACAACTCTGTCACGCTAGCAGTCGACCTGCCTGAGCACTGGCAAACCTTGCATGTGATGTAGTCCATCTTTGCCATTGCTTGTTATCATTCTGAACTCTGTTATTCTCAACTTTTCCTTTGGGAAACTCTTGCTGTTTTTGCCCTGTGAAAACACAAGTCCTAGAGAACACAGACAGAGCTTCGATGACTCTTACAACCAGTGCCCACCCTATAGTCTAGCTCCCACCGTTGTAGAGTTATTCTCCGCAACCTTTCCCTCATCCCCTCCCATCTCCATCCGAGCCCACCTCTTCCCCTCGCCCCTCCCTTCCCCACACCTCCAATCCCTCCTCTCTCCTTCTCTCTCCGTTCCGCTGCAACCACTCATAGCGTACCATCCCCTACGCCCCATATTCTCCTCTCAGCCGCTCCACGCAAGCCGCCCCTCCGCCTCTCCATCATGGCGCTGCTACAGTCACCGTTTTTGGGGCTGGGGTGCACATAATGAGCTCTGTGGGGGGGCCGAATTGTGGGAATGAGCCGTGAGAGCGGTTGAAATGGTGTGACCGACATGTGCAAGCAATGTGAGTATGTGTAAGAGTGCTAATCTTACCTATTTGATTGACTGACGCTCTGCCACACGCTCCATGAAGTCCGTCTCTTCACGTGCACCATTGCACGCAAGTGTTACCACCAATGACGCTTCAGATGAGTGTCGCAATCCATGCACTGGGAGGATGTCGTATTGCCACAGTTCTTCCACATCCGGCCAACAATTATCCATCGGCACTGGTCCTTCTAGCATCTCCACTGCATCACCGCCCTCTCCAGGCCCATCTCGATGACCCCCCATGCCTCGACTATGTATTAGCGATACCATAACAGGTACATCCACTTGGTCCGCCTCCTCCTCCTCATCTCGCTCCTCCAATTCCCCCACACCTTGATCGGCCCCCAGCACGCTTGTCGCGTTCACAACCTACTGCAAGTCTGGATGTTCCCATTTTGCATTTGCCAGATCCACAAACCGATACTGGATTCCGAGCTCAGTGCAAACGTCCTCGATCAATTTGTCTTTTCCATTGGACCCACCCACCTTGCTTGGGGCCTTCTTCTGCAACCACCCTTTTAGCTTCATGACCGTATACATATGAAGGTCCTCTACGACTTGAGCCTCATCAATTTGGACTACAGCCCTTACTCGATTTTGCAAGTCGTTTTCAAAGCTCTTGACCACTGATCGCCTCTTGTGCCACTAGTCATGCTGGTGTCCCACCCCTCTGTCCGCAGCCACAGTCTTGAATGTACTACATTCGTCCGTAACAATACCAGCCACGTCAAACCCCACATTCTTGAAGTAGTCCATGCCTAAGTTGAATGCAACGCTTTCTAGCCTAGGGGATGATGGATCATGGACATACTTCTTCGTATTCTCTACATGCACAGTTTTCCTACTCTCGGGATGCAGAAAAGACACAGTGCACCACTCCGCCTTTCGAGCTTGGCTAAATCTACCATCCACGCTAATATATCCCACCCCTCCTGCCCTCTTAGACATGCTATCACGCACTGCTGCCATAGAAACCTGGGGTGCACGAATGATAGCCTTCCACAAACCCTTTTCACCCTGCAACAGTCGGTAAAATGTCGTTTTTCCTGGATTTGGCACTCCGAGGTTGCGACACACCTCCCACATCACTTGAAACCTTAACCCTCCGAAGCCAAACGCACCGACAAACTTTTGCGTCAACTGTATAGACCTTGGCCCGGTCCGCTTCCCATTAAGGGGGGTTTTCCTTCTTCGGGCTTGTCCATATCTCCGTGCGGCTAGGGCATGTACTACAGTGCCAATACATGTAGTTTTCCATGACACGAGGGACATGCTTCCGCCGCAGCCTTTTCTTGTGCAACTGATCCGTAGTGGTGCTAATGCTTCTAGAATGTGCCTTGGCTCCATAAAACATACCATGTACAAAGACATCTCCGTGACGGCTGGTGCACGTGGCCACACTCTCAGGACAGGCACTGGTGTATCCTTGAGGGGCTCGTCCTGTTGATTAGATCTGGAGGTTGTTGAACATCCAAACAACATTGGGAACTCGATAGAAAGTCATTATACCCACCACTTCATCCATGCCTACAACTCAGAGCAATCACGAACCCAACTCAGTCCACGCTCGCCCCACTCTCTAGTCGGTCACACCACTCCCGCACGCACGCCCATGAGTTCGTGGTCATTTACCCTACACCAACCAAGCACGGTGATCATTCACACCACACCACCCAAACCACAGGTCATTTGTACCACACCAACGGCTATCACAGGTCATCCAAACCACACCAACGACGATCACATGTCATTTACACCACAACAGCTATAGGCACATGTCCTATACACCACACCAGCGTTTGCTACGCAGGCCAGTGATACAATTCCACTCCCACTTTCACAACTCCTTCGACCAACCCCATCCATGCACAGTCTCACCTTTGGGCTCCATCTGGTACCCCGTCTTCATGAAGTACGGTGTGCTCTTGGTTGCTTTGAGCGCTAGCAATCGTGCATGTGTCTGGCTGCAGCTCTGTTTCAGCTCTTGTTGGCTGGGCAACCTCTGCACACACGCCATGGATTGGGGTCTCACTAGGAAATATACGCACTTGCTGTCTACAAGAATATGCATACTCAACTTCAGTTTGTCCCACTCTATTTTACACAATTTTGAGTTTTTGAGGGTTTCTCACCTTCTGTGCGCGCACGTTCATAAGTCGTGCCCTTTTGGGCCCCTCCCCAACCAACCCCACGGACAGGGCGTAATCTGCCCCGTCTGTCCTCTTTGTAGGCCGGGAAGCTGTAAACAATGCCCTCATTCTGGATGTCCTCGTTCCCAATTATCCCTGTGACTGCATTAGGCCCGTTGCTCGCCCAAGCGTCCAACTGTCGCACGTATGTCTCAAGGTGCAGCTCCGCTGTTGCTAGTGCTTCTCCCCCGTGTGCACCTGGACATACAAAGAGGGTTCGTGTGGCACATAGGAATACACGTGTGGTATGGGCGCCATGTTATCCTCACAACACTCACCCGTAAACCCCTCTTCCCTCCCACAATCGGTTCACCCATGTACCTGCGGCTTTGGCTGCCCGCATTAGCCTTTTATACACGGTCGGAGCATTCATCATGAAATTGTACAGCACGTCCGATGTTGTAGCCTCGGTCTTGCCACCCATCAAAGCCGACACCCCGCAGCGCTGTAGGCATACGAATGGCCGCATGTGCTTGGATATACCATGAGTGGCCTTGTCATGCTCGGCACTAAGCCCCGCAATTGGATTGGCTTCATTTGCAGTTGTATCCTTTGACTTCCTGCCAATTTAGGATGGTATGGGTTGAGCAGGGTGTGGCGTCGGGGCATGCCCATGGTGCAGGGTGTGTAAATCTTTATAATTGTGTGGACTCAGCCCCCGTCCTCGCCTCGACCCACAAGTGTGATGCACATGCATCATAAACCGCCGGCCAATACACAGGGGGTTGACATGAGCAAAGGAGCCACAGCAGACTGGCAGGCACCTATCAGCATCCTCGCGGTCCTAGTTGGGAGCAAACATAGGGAGGAGAGGGGAGTGGGGGGAATGGAAGATGATAGGTGCAGCAGGGGGAAGGGTGGATGACGGGGGTAGCAGGGATATTGGAGGCTGGAAGGGGTAGCAGAGTGGAAGAGACGAGGACAGGGGTAGCAAGGGGATTTTAGAATGAAATGGGTCACACGAAGATAAGAGAGGGGAGTGGAGGGAATGCACGGTCGGTAAGGTGGGGTGGCCATTGTGGTGTGGGAATTGCTGCATGGGGAAGTGGAGGCGCGGACGGGGTATCAATGGGGGATTGGACGGGGGTAAGTGGGGGATTGGACGGGGGGAAGTGGGGGATTGGACGGGGGGAAGTGGGGGATTGGACGGGGGGAAGTGGGGAATTGGACGGGGGAAAGTGGGGGATTGGACGGGGAATAGTGTGGGATTGGGCGGGGGGAAGTGGGGAATAGGACGGAGGGAAGTGGGGGATTGGATGGGGTTGTCAACGGGAGTTGTGTTTGGCCCCGTCCTCGCTTGGGCGGAGCCGCCCGTGGGGTCCACGAAATCGTGGGGGCCCACGAAACCGTGGGGGCCCACGAAACCGTGGGGTCCACGAAACCGTGGGGTCCGCGAAACCGTGGGGGCCCACGAAACCGTGGGGGGCCACGAAACCGTGGGGGGCCACGAAACCGTGGGGGGCCACGAAACCGCGGGGGGCCACAAAACCGTGGGGGGCCACGAAACCGTGGGGGGCCCCGAAATCGTGGGGGGCCACGAAATACCCGGTCAACCAGGATACCCGGGCGACGTGCGCGAAAGTCACCGGGGATGTCGTTTATGAAGGCGATCTCGGGGGTGGTATCCCGAGGTCGACGTGGCTGGTGGGCGCCGTCACGGGTGAAGTGTCTGCGCTGGGCATGTGACGGGGAGTTGGGCGCCAACCAGCTGCGCGCACCTGCGAAGCTGGTGCACCGCTGTCCCGCGGATGCGACGCTGTGCAGCCGACATACTGCAGCGTTGGCGCACCGCGGACTTGCAACATTGGCAAGCCGCGACTCTGCTCTGCTGGAGCGCGGACGACAGAGTTGTGCTGGCACGCAGTCGACCGTGCTGCGCTGGCAGAGGACCAGCAGCCTTGCTAGGTCTGATGTAGTCATTGTTGCCAATGTTGATGCAATCATTCTGAACTTTTGTTATGCCTAATTTCCTAGTGAAACTCTTGCCGATTTTCCCCGTGAACCAGAGCAAGCAGTGTTAGCACTTGGAAACGACTAAGGAACGAACGAACGCAGAGATCACATGAGCATCCGTGCCTAGCCCGCAGTCTAGCTCCCGTTGCAATAGTTATCTCCGCAGGGGTATCAGTGGGGGATTGGATGGAAGGAAGTGGGGGATTGGAGGAGGGGTTGTGGGGGATTGGATGGGGGGATGTGGGGGATTGGACGGGGGGATGTGGGGGATTGGATGGGGGGAAGTGGGGGATTGGACGGGGGGAAGTGGGGGATTGGACGGGGGGAAGTGGGGGCGACGAGAGGGGGAAGTGGAGGCGACGGGAGGGGGAGGTGGAGGCGACGGGAAGGGGAAGTGGAGGCGATGGGAAGGGGAAGTGGAGGCGACGAGAGGGGATAGTGGGGGCGACGGGAGGGGGAAATGGAGGCGACGGGAGGGGGAAGCGGAGGCGACGGGAGGGGGAAGTGGACGCGACGGGAGGGGGAAGTGGAGGCGATGAGAGGGGGAAGCGGAGGCGACGAGAGGGGGTAGTGGGGAATTGGACGGGAGGGGGAAGTGGAGGCGACGGGAGGGGCAAGTGTAGGCGACGCGAGGGGGAAGTGGAGGCGACGGGCAGGTGTGATTGAAGGCGACGGGGAGGGAAAGTGGGGGCGACGGGAGGGGGAATTGAAGATGGTGGCGTGAGGTGACGTTCGTGCCCAGTGGAGGTTGTGAGCGGCTCTTACGTACCTTCGTGACCCTCCCTTGGGAGGTCGACGAGCCATAGGAGCTACCACGCCGTCGTTACCAATCTGTTTCTGTTTGTGGCTGACGGTCGTTTGGCGTTCTATCCTTCGTGGCTGTGGTAACCCTAAAAGTGTGACAGGTTTATCGTACGCTGCGGAAGTGTGCGAGCAATGTCATGGCTACTTTATTTGGCTGCTACATGCAGTATCAAGAACTAGCGGGCCGTATAGGTTGATGTCAGTGAATGCAGGTCGTGGTGTTGTGTGTGTGGTTTGCGCAGGTGTTGTGTGTTGTGTTTGTGGGACGCGATGTGTGGCTTGCAGTTTGCGACAATTTCTATTGGCCAGTTCTTTGTAGTTTGACTTGGCTGTTCGCTAAATAATTCGCAAATTCGCTGACTGGGGGTGCCTTCTTTCGGCTCCCAACTTTCACTTCTCACCACTCGCCACCCGACGAACCTCATTGCCAAGCTTTTAAAACTTGTGCAATTTGGGTTGACGGCTTTGAGAGGGGGGCGTTGGGACGCGCGCTGGAAACTGTTGGCTACCGAGATTGTTAGGTGCGCAGTTAGGGCGTGTTAAATTGCAAACTCCAAAAATCCGGCCACAATCTGTCGGGCCTTATCTGCGCAGGTAACCAGTTTGCGACATTCGTAAGTCAAGTAGCGACCGTTGCAAATTTCGTCAAAATTTTACGAATTTGATGGCCGTTTAAAAAGTCGACACGAAAACGACGCCGAGTCGACTCCAAAACGGCCAAGTAGTCGACACAGTGTGCGACAAACGCCTGCGACGTCGCACGGCATCGCCCAACGACAGAATTTGTGATCGCCGTCAAAAGTGCGACCCCGTCGCACAACTAAACTACTGTAGTAACTGCAAATTTAACAACTTTTCCGAACCGGCCTGCAATCCGGCCACCAAAGTTTGTTAAATTGCCAAAACTGTAAATTTTGGCTGTTAAAGAGTCGACTCTGATCCGGCCACCTCGTCATTGTTCGCTAAATATGTGACGACCATTTGGTCGTCGAAAATTCGGCCACGCCCTATTTTCGGAATTGTGTGGCGATTTAAAGCCCGAGGTCAGCATAGTTAGAGGGTGTCTCAAAATCGTCGATCCACGCTGGATCTGGGCGCTCGACGTGGACCAGTCCACCAAACCACCACGGACCCGAGCGTGGACCGGAGCGTGGACCCGCGTGTTTTAACGACGGAAAAGGACTGTGCTGGGGAGTCTTCACTGGTTCGGCGAGCTGGTCCACGTCGGACTCCTGAACAGTCGTCTTTTCACGAATAGTCGCGAACTCCCCCCACAAGTGTCGCAAAACTTGACAATGTGCAATTGTGGATTGCCCAATGACATGAAGCCCTTACGAATCATAGTAACCTAGTGTTGGAAAAAACACGCAGAGTTCTCGCCTTCACGCCACTGTAGATTTCATCAGCGGACCAGTCCGAAGCTGGTTCCCCCGTACGGACTCAACCTGGTCCGGCGGACCAGTCCACGGTTTTGGGGTGCAACATTTCCAAGAGCGGACCGGCTCGCAGACTCGTCGGAAGTGAGACACGTCCTTATTGCCAAAAAAAACTGAAGGGGTTTAATCGTGTTGGCGAAAGTCAAAAAGGTTCATTTGGGGAATATGGGCGGGGCGAAAGCGAGATCATTCAACGAGGAGATTGTGTAGTCGTCACTCAACATCGGTTGGAGTGTGCGACAACCAACCCAACTGAGCGTGAAAAAACCACCGCTATTCTTGAGTTAGTAATAATCAAGAAGAAAACTCCTTCCCTTCCCTCATTTAGCTCCTCCTCCCGCCGCGCTTCCCATTTCCGCATTCCCCCGCCCATCGACGCGCCACCCGCTGTCGCGCCAAGGATCCTTTCGTCGCGCATCCTCTCGTGCCTCGCCTCCCATCGTCGCGCCTCCTCGCCGCGCCTCCCGTCGTCATGCCTCCCGTCGTTTCTGGGAGCCTCCGCTTGTCGCGCCTCCGCTCGCCTCGTCGCCCCTCTGCTCGCCTCGTCGCGCCTCCGCTCGCCTCGTCGCGCCTCCGCTCGCCTCGTCGCCCCTCCGCTCGCCTCGTCGCGCCTCTGCTCGCCTCGCCGCGCCTCCGCTCTCCTCGCCGCGCCTGCGCTCGCCTCCGCGCGCCTCCTCTCGCCTCGTCGCGCCTCTGCTCGCCTCGTCGCGCTTTCGCTCGCCTCGCCGTGCCCCCGCTCGCCTCGCCGCGCCTCCTTGCCATCAGCGCGCCAACACCCTCATTTCATCCCCCCCCCTTCCCCTCATTTCCCCCGCTCCTTCCCCTCATTTCTCTCCCTGCTTCCCTTCATTTCCCTTCCTGCTTCTCCTCATTCCCCTCCCTGCTTCCCCTCGTTTCCCCCCCTGCTTCCCCTCATTTCCCCCATTGATTCCCCTCATTTCCCCCGTTGATTCCCCTCATTTCCCTTCCTGATTCCCCTCATTTCCCTCCCTGCTTCTCCTCAGTTCCCCCCTTGATTCCCCTGATTTCTCTCCCTGCTTCCCCTCATTTCCCTCCCTGCTTCCCCTCATTTCCCCCCTTGATTCTCCTCATTTCCCTCCCTGCTTCTCCTCATTTCCCCCCTTGATTCCCCTCTTTTCTCTCCTTGCTTCCCCTCATTTCCCTCCCTGGTTCCCCTCATTTCCCCCCTTGATTCTCCTCGTTTCCCTCCCTGCTTCTCCTCATTTCCCCCCTTGATTCCTCTCATTTCCCTTCTTGCTTCTCCTCCCCCCTGCTTCCCCTCATATCCACCCTTGCTTCTCCTCAATTCCCCCTCTGTTTCCCCACGTTCCCCCCTTTGCTTCCCCTCATTCCCCCCTTTGATTTCTCTCGTTTTCCCTCCTCCTTCCCCTCATTTGCCTCGCTGGTTCCCCTCATTTACCCTCCATGATTCACCTCATTTCCCTTCCTATTTTCCTGTTTGTACCCTCCTGCTTCTCCTCATTTCCCTCCGTTGCTTCTCCTCATTTCCCTCCGTTGCTTCTCCTCATTTACCAAGAATTCCCCCTCTGTTTCCGCTCGTTTCCCCACCTGCTAAACCTTCGTTTCCCCCTCTTCCTTCCCTCGTTTCATCTTCCAATTTCCCCCGTTCCCTCTTTCCATTTGTCCCTATCCTCCCTCTTCCTAAGGTATTTCCTTCTTTCCCTCTCACCCTCTTCCTTTCACCTCCTTTCTCTTCCCCCCTGTTTCCCTCTTCCCCTCTTCCCTATCTCCCCTATCTCCGCACTTCTCATCTCTCTGTTTGACCTTTTTCCTTGTTCCCCCTCCCCATCCCTCGTAATCTCTCTCTCTACCTGGCTATTGCAGTGACTACACTGAAGCTTTTTCTGGTACCGGTACTTCAACTCGCCTCAGCCCATCGTCCATGCCATGCTCTTAGCGTAACCTGTTCCCCTCATGGTTTTTTCAAGGCCTTGAGAAAGGTTCAGTTGTACGGTATTGTTCATGGTTTTTCTCTTAGTGTCCATGCATCTTGGAAAAATATCTTGCACTGCAAAAATAAAAGTACATGGAGAGCCTTTGCGATGCATATCGCCAACAGTAAGAAACAGGTGGTAAGGCAATGTAAAGCATTGACTGATGCTCCTTTGCCTCACCACAGAGAGAGGGGAGAAAGAAAGAAAGAATTGCATGAAGAAACATGGGGGAGGTGGTGTGAGGTGCAACGGAACAATGGCAGGGGAATACAAGCAAGCGCACATGATGAAAGCATGAATGGGGAAATAGAGATGGGTGCACATGCATGGGAAGTAGAGGGCAGAAGGTGAGGAGTGAGGGGGAAGGGGAGGGCATGAAAAGGAGTTGATCGGGAAGGGAAGGCTTGAGAAGGGAAGGGGACATGGGGAAGTAGGGAAGGGGATGGGGGGAAGCAGGGAAGGGGATGGTGGGAAGCAGGGAAGGGGATGGGGGGAAGCAGGGAAGGGGACATGGGAAAGCAGGGAAGGGGACGGGGGGAAGTAGGGAATGGGATGGGGGGAAGCAAGGAAGGGGATGGGGGGAAGCAGGGAAGGGGATGGGGGGAAGCAGGGAAGGGGATGGGGGGAAGCAGGGAATGGGATGGGGGGAAGCAGGGAATGGGATGGGGGGAAGCAGGGAAGGGAACATGGGAAAGCAGGGAAGGGGACGGGGGGAAGCAGGGAATGGGATGGGGGGAAGCAGGGAAGGGGATGGGGGGAAGCAGGGAAGGGGACATGGGAAAGCAGGGAAGGGGACGGGGGGAAGCAGGGAAGGGGATGGGGGGAAGCAGGGAAGGGGATGGGGGGAAGCAGGGAAGGGGATGGGGGGAAGCAGGGAAGGGGATGGGGGGAAGCAGGGAATGGGATGGGGGGAAGCAGGGAAGGGAACATGGGAAAGCAGGGAAGGGGACGGGGGGAAGCAGGGAATGGGATGGGGGGATGCAGGGAAGGGGATGGGGGGAAGCAGGGAAGGGGACATGGGAAAGCAGGGAAGGGGACGGGGGGAAGCAGGGAATGGGATGGGGGGAAGCAGGGAAGGGGATGGGGGGAAGCAGGGTAGGGGATGGGGGGAAGCAGGGAAGGGGATGGGGGGAAGCAGGGAATGGGATGGGGGGAAGCAGGGAAGGGGATGGGGGAAAGCAGGGAATGGGATGGGGGGAAGCAGGGAAGGGGATGGTGGGAAGCAGGGAAGGGGACATGGGGAAGTAGGGAAGGGGATGGGGGGAAGTAAGGAAGGGGACATGGGGAAGTAGGGAAGGGGATGGGGGGAAGCAGGGAAGGGGATGGGGGGAAGCAGGGAAGGGGATGGTGGGGAGCAAAGAAGGGGATGGGGGGAAGCAGGGAAAGGGATGGGGAGAAAAAGGGTAGGGGATGGGGGGAAGCAGGGAAAGGGACATGGGGAAGTAGGGAAGGGTATGGGGGGTAGCAGGGAAGGGGATGGGGGGAAGCAGGGAAGGGGACATGGGGAAGTAGGGAAGGGGATGGGGGGAAGCAGGGAAGGGGATGGGGGAAGCAGGGAAAGGAACATGGGAAAGCAGGGAAAGGGAAAGGAAGGGTGTGTGCAGGTTGGAAAGGGGGCGTGACAAGTGTGGGAGTTGGGAAGGGAGAAGGGAGGGATGACGACAGTAACGGGGATGCCAGGGCGACGAGGGGAGAGAGATACGGGGATTGAGAGGGGACGAGCGGGAGGGAGGGCGGCGAGCAGCAGGGAGCGCGACGAGACAAAGGGGGGCAACGGGCGGAAGGGAGCGCGACGAGGGGAAGGTAGGGCGGCGGGCGGTCGGGAGGACAATGAGAGGTGTTGGGCTGAGAAAAGCCCTTAGGATCTTTGCAAGGGAGAACTCTGGGTAGAGTAGCGTTGTAATAGCGGAAGCTTTAATGAAAATACTTGTGAACCACCTTGCGCTTGTATGTGAGGGCAAAGTAAGTTGATTAAAGCAAAGAGATACAAGACTATATAATAGTACAAGGAATATGAAAGGATGCAGTTGTAACTACTTTACTGTTGCTGTTGCGGTTCGATACAGTGCGACTCGGGCAACTGCTCTGTAATGAGTCGGTTGTTTGTCCTTAACTGACGCGATGTACTTGTCAGGTCAAAGGTCGCTGACCTTTGACTTTCGCGTAACCTCCAGCGGTTGCTTCAACCTCCGAGGGTTGACTCGCGGGTGCTTCGATACTCGCTGCTTCGCTTGTGTCTTGGTGTTTCGACACGACAGAGGCGCTTTAGGATTTACTGTTTCCAACAAGAGGAAGGGAGGGCGACGAGACGAAGGGAGGGTGACGGGCGAAAGGGAGGGCGACGGGCGGAAGGGAGGGCGACGGGCAGAAGGGGATGCGACGAGCGCTAGGGAGTGCGACGGGCGGAAGGAAGGGCGACGTCGGAAGGGAGTGCGACGCGCGCTAGGGAGGGCGACGGGCATAAGATAGGGCGACGGTTGAGGGGAGATCGATGGGCGTAAGGGAGTGCGACGGGCGGAAGGGAGTGCAGACAAGCGGAAGGTAGTGCGACGGGCGGAAGCGGGTGCGTCGAGAAGTTGGCAAGCGTCTTGAAGACAGGCAAGCGCCCGTTCCTTGCGCTTCGCACGTAGATGTGAGCGCCCGCGTCCCTACAGAATTGGGCGTTTCACGTGACGTTTATCTTTATGCTGGCTTTTTTTTTTTTATGGAGAACAACACACAGGCTGCTGCAAGGATACAGACAGCTCGCTGCCATTGTGAAAATTAGAGCTAACGCGCTCTTGTGGTTCTGAATAGCGGAGTAGACAACGTGTTTGTGCCTGAGTATGGCTGCATGTTAGTACAACTTGGTTTTCAAGTTTACTGAATGTGAACAGTGCTCCATCTCCCGTGGACACTTCACTCCGAAGAATTGTTTTGTCGCTGGCCAATCATGCATCAGGGTTGCAAGACCTCTCCTCTGTGAAGCGACGGAATGCTTCACTTCGGGTGGTAACTTGGTTTTTGGCGAGTTCATATTCAAGAATCTTGAATTTGAAAACAGCCATGTGGAACTCGGGCTATAACACGCCCTTACTTTCTCAAGGGTTTCAGGTGAGTACCGCATCGTCCGCTGCTGAATCCAAATGCCCCTGTAAGTTTCTCAATACCGTCTCACGGTATCATGTGTAAGAGATGTAGCATTCTTGCACATTTCAGTGTGCTAAATTGCCTTCTTATTTGAAGTAAAAGAATGCTAAGCCCACCGCCAAGGTACCCAAAAAGCAAGCTTAGGATGTGAAGGAAAAATTGCAAGGAACGTTCAGAGAGAGAAAAAGGCAAAACCAAAAAGCGTTAACAAATCTGTGTTCCCACAAGGCATGGGTCCTGGTTGCACAGCAGTCAGTCATACGCGACAGACATTTGCCAGGAGAGCCTTCACAGTATTAGGTGCATCTTCAATGTCGCCAAGGAGAGAGGTTTTCATCCGTATCAAACTCCATGCGATTGTTGATATGCAACTTGTTTCAGTTCCGTGACTCGTAAGCATGACTGCTGGCAAGTGTGAGGTGAGGCGCCAGCGGAAAGGGCAGGAGTCGACTGTGGTGAAGCATGACGGCCAGAGCTCAAGCACAGGTGCTGCTTGGACAGAGGAAAAAGGGGTGAGAGGCAAAAAAAAAGGGAGAGAGGCGAGAAAGGAGAGACATTCTTCAATTCAGAACTTGTATTTTGTTACCCAGAGTTCAAGTGTGGGTAACGCGTGGAGGAAACAGATAGCGAACAATGAAAAGGGGGAAGGGTGCAAGCGAGCAATCTATATGTCGTGGTGAGTAAGGAACAGACAGCCCAATACTCATGCTGCATGGATGAAGAGAAAACAAGATGGGTGGGGTGGGGAGAGAGAACTGAAGGTGGGGAGAGAGAACTGAAGGTGGGGAGAGAGAACTGAAGGTGGGGAGGGAGGAAGGTAAGAGAAGGCATGGGGGTAGGGAGGGAGGAGGATAGGAGGGAATGGGAGGAACAGAAGCCACGTGAGGGGAAGGCGGAAAAGAGCATGGGATAGAAGCAAAAGGAGCCTATTAGATCAACTCATTATCTCTCTCTTCCCACTCGTTCTCTTCCATTTCCCCCTCGCACTCCCTACAACACACTCTCTCTCACCTGGCTGTGCATTGGTCCCACCCGCCACCCACTCTTGGGCACCACCGACCCAGCCAACCTGCTCCCACTGCTCCACAGCACTCCCACCCCGTCTCTTCACTCCGAACCCGTTCATCGCTCTTTGCCCATCTGTACTCCTCTCTCACCTGGCTGTGCATTGGCTGCCCACCCGCCATCCACTCTTGGGCACCACCGACCCGGCCGGTTTACTCCCACTGCAAAACGTCACCACGCCCGTAAACTTTGGGCTGCCCGGAGCCTTCTGCAGGTACAGCGAGCCGCCGTTGGCAGCGCTGCCCGAGTTGCCCGAAAAAGACGACGAGCAGAAGCTGAGAGATGATTGGGTGAGCAGCCCTGAGACGGCGTAGAGAGCACCGCCGAGGCCGGAGGAGAATGAGCCGGCAAGAGAGGTGCCGAGGGCCTTGTTGGTCTTGAAGGTGACTCGCGCGAGTGCAAGGGATGCACCGTACGAGAAGATGGCTCCTCCAGATGCACCTGGATGGGGAGGATGAGGAGGGTGGGAATGGGGTTGTGAGAGGGGGGTGGGAAGGAATGGAGAGGGATGGGGAGGTATGGAGATAGACGGAGAGGGATGGAAAGGGATGGAGTTGGATGAAAAGAGATGGAGAGGGAGAGGGATGGAAAGGGACGGAGAGGGATGCTAAGGGATGGAGAGGGACGGAGAGGATTAAGAGGGATGACGAGGGACGTTACAAGCCTGAGAAATGAGCGAGCAAGAGGTTCAGTGGCAAGACGAGAGGAAGGGAGACAGCCCGCAGTCTGCAGCGGAGTGGGAGGTGCCAAATGAACCAATCTGCACCCTCACAACACTCACCAGCGTTCTTCCCATCAAACACACACATCCGCACACCTCCACACACCTCCACACACCTCCACGCACACCACACACACCCACACATACACACTCACCGGCGTTGTTCCCATCAAACACACACGTCTTGAACCGCACCCTGCCGTTCCCCGCCACCGAAATTGCCCCGCCCAAACTCCTGGGCGCGGAGTTGTCTTTGAAGAGGCAGCGGTGGAAGTAGAGTGGCGGCACGCGGCCCAGCGGGCTGCCCGCGTTGATGCTGACGGCTCCGCCCCCCAGGATGGGCGCCGTGTTGCTCTGAAAGGTGCAGCGCGAGAAGAGGCGGTACGGAGGGGTGGCTATTCCAGGGAAGGAGTCGCTGTGGGGTTGGGAACAGGGAGAGGATGGGGGAACGGGGAGGAAGAGGAAGGGGAATGGGAGACAACGGAAAGAGGGTGAAGAAAGGGAAGGAGGGCAGGCAAGCGGACGGGGAGAGAGGGCAGGGAAGGAGTCTTTGGTGGGTTGGAAACAGGGAGAGAGAAAGGAGAGGGAAGGGGAGAGGTCGGGATGAAGGTGGAGGGTTGGGAGATTGGTTGAGTGAGTGGTGTTGAGTGGTAACCAGCAACTGTTTTTGAGGAGCCTCAGAAAAGGAGTGGACCAGGGGACAATCGAGGGTAGGACACAGGGTGAGTGTGGAGAGCAGCGAACAGTGAGTGACTGTTGCACAACAGGCAGCACAGCAGGCGGCATAGCAGGCGGCACAACAGGCAGCACAGCAGGCGGCATAGCAGCAGGCATAGCTGACCCGCTGACTGACACTTCAATAGGATATCTGTCAAAGCAACACGCTTCCCTCACCTAAGCACCCGCTCACTCCCTCACCTCACTCCCTCACCACCTCACTCCCTCACCCACTCACACCCTCACTCCCTCACCCCCTCACTCAATCAACCACCCACTCCCACACCCCCATCCCCCCCTCACTCCCTCACCTGAGCACCCCTCCGCCAATGCCAGGAGCCGTGTTGCTCAAGAACACGCATTGACTAGCATTGACCACCGCCCGCACGTTGAAAAGGACGCCTCCTGCCGCCCGCTGGAAGTTGAGGTTGACCAGAGTCAACAGCCCCCCCGAGGGGCCGGCCGAGGGGGAGGTGAATATGGGGAAGGCGCCACCCCCGCTGATGATGCACCTGTTGATGTTGGGAGAGGAGAGAGAGGGGGAGAGAAAGGGGGAGAGAAAGGGGGAGAGAAAGGGGGAGAGAAAGGGGGAGAGAAAGGGGGAGAGAAAGGAACGGGGGTTGAAGGGCACAAGATAGAGGATGAGTGGCATTTGAGATCACGGGGAGGATGGAGGGTGACGTCTAGAGAGAGAGAGAGAGAGTGGACGTGGGGGTTGGAAAGAGCTCCTTGCATGTTATCAGGAACGTCAGGATTAATCTGAGAACTACCTGACGAATAACCTGAAGAAATGTCACCTGAGGAAACACATCACCTGAAGAAACACGTCAGAATCATCTGACCATTGTCAGGTAAATCTCTAGGAACTAAAGGACAAAGCTTCCGTTACAGTAGCGCTTCTTTGTTACCGAATCTAACAGTCCCGCACCTTATTCTGAAAACCTGCTTCTGTGTCCGGCGATGTGGCAACCCTACCAGGACTGGTAACCCGTTGCGACCCCATGTATCCTTACCACATAGTTGATATTCAAGCTAACAACCTGCCTGGTAACCCTATCACCAACCCGGTAACCCTGTTACCAACCTGGAAGGGGCACACGCGCCCTTGACTGTCAGCTTGGCTGCGCCTGAGAGGGCGGGAAGGGGGCTGGCGGAGGAGCAAGAGAAGCGGACGGAGCGGGCGAGAGGGGGAGAGGGGGGTATGGGTCAAGTCAGAAATTGCCCGAGACTGCGGGGAGGCGGATAGGGGAAGAAAGGGAGGGCGAAGGAGGTGCGGAAAGGAAGAGTAATACTGATAGTGAGCGAAGGGAGATTCTGATTGTTCGAGGCCCGTACTGGATACGAGGCGTTGCGAGTGTGTGGTGTTACTAAGTAACCCTTCGAGGGATGACGTGCATGCGCAGAGATGGAGTGATGTGGCAGGTGCATGTGAACTCACGCTGTGAGCGCCACGTTGGATGTGAGGACGAGCACTGTCGGGGACGCGCTTGCGCCTCTCTGCATGCATGCCACGTGGACGCAAACACACACACAAGCGCGCGCGCACACGCACGCGTACACGCACATCCACACACGCGCACACACGCGTACGCATAGAGAGGAGAGAGGAGACAAACGTTAACCTTGGCAGACGTGACATCTCAGTCGTCCACGTGAGATTCCTACTCCACGTAACTGAGCTTGTGGCTCGTCTGGTTTCCTAGTCGCCTTCATCCAGCTTCCCGCCCATCCCCGTATTCTACACCCCCCTTCCCCACCCCCTCCACCTCCACGCTCCCCCATCTTACCCCATCCCCCATCTTTCCTCCCCCAACCCTCCTTTCCTCCCCG